ATTGTTTATTTGATTTTGTATTACCTATTTTCTCTGTTGTGTGGAATCATAAAATTACCTTAGTGTATCACAACAATATTGGGTAGTTAGATATATGTAGAGAGATCCTGTTTTTTTACTGTTAAAAAATTGTTTGTTGCCATATTATAATTTTTTTTATATTTCATAATTTATTGAATATTAATAACCAGAGTATAAAATATCAAGGGCCAGCTTCTTGCAATCCTATGGCCACGGCTTGTGAGAATATAACCTTTGAGATACTCGAAATTATTAATTATTAATAAATTTAATAATAATCAGATCATTTAAAAATTGTGATATTGATGTAATTAGTTAGAGACCTTATTATTGTGTCTTACATTGGTAGGATATATTTTTGATTGTGTGTACCAATATTCATTTATCACCAGTCTTTTGCGTTTTGTGTTAATATATATATAATTTTTGTACATAAATAAATTTTTATATTTATCTATTATAAGACAAATTTTTTGTGTGTATGGTACGAAATCATATTGGCTAAAAGAATTCAAGGTATAATAATAAGTGGTGATCAAATTATCAAGGTGTCCAAATTATTGGTTTACTAAATATTTGCCGTATTTTAAACGGCTGGAGGCACTGTAATATTTCATCTAAGGGAAAGGGACACGCCCTTTATAAATAATAATATCCTTACATAAACCACCACAAACATAAGGGGGGATATGATTCTCTATGTATTAATACATAAGGGGGGATATGATCTCTATGTATAATACATAAGGGGGGGGGGGTATGATCACCATGTATAATACATAAGGGGGGATATGATCTCCATGTATAATACATAAGGGGGGATATGATCTCCATGTATAATACATAAGGGGGGATATGATCTCCATGTATAATACATAAGGGGGGGATATGATCTCCATGTTTTAATACATAAGGGGGATATGATCTCCCATGTATAATACATAAGGGGGATATGATCTCCATGTATAATACATAAGGGGGGATATGATCACCATGGTATAATATACATAAGGGGGGATATGATCTCCATGTATAATACATAAGGGGGATATGATCTCCATGTATAATTACATAAGGGGGGGATATGATCACCATGTATAATACATAAGGGGGGATATGATCTCTATCTATAATACATAAGGGGGATATGATCACCATGTATAATACATAAGGGGGGATATGATCACCATGTATAATACATAAGGGGGATATGATATCCATGTATAATACATAAGGGGGGGATACGATCTCCATGTATAATACATAAGGGGGGATATGATCGCCATGTATAATACATAAGGGGGGATATGATCACCATGTATAATACATAAGGGGGGGTATGATCTCCATGTATAATACATAAGGGGGATATGATCTCCATGTATAATACATAAGGGGGGATATGATCTCCATGTATAATACATAAGGGGGGATATGATCACCATGTATAATACATAAGGGGGGGTATGATCTCCATGTATAAATACATCAGTGGTTCATATAGTGAACTCGGTGTAGTTATTCACCCTGAGGTCATCACAGAGGACAAGGGGGCGCTCGTTACATCTGTAGGAAAAGAAATTTAATCTCCAAACACGGAAAGGTTTCTTCACAGTGAGAGCTGTGAGAATATGGAATAGACTCCCTCAAGAGTTGGTTCTGGCCAGATTGCTTCAAAAAAGTCCTGGATTCTTTCTTGGATACACAGAATATAACTGGATATAACATTTATAGGTAAAGTTGATCCAGGTAATATCCGAATGCCTCTTGGGGGATCAGGAAGGATTTTTTCCCCCTGTAGGAGCAGATTTGGATCATGCTTTGCTGGGTTTTTTGCCTTCCTCTGATCAACTGTGGATATAGGATTATAACATTTTTTTTAATGGTTGAACTGGATGGACTTTTGTCTTTTTTTCAGCCAGACTAACTATGCAACTATGTACAAAAAATATTTTGGTTTTCTTTATTCATATAAATATATGCTGGCAGAAAAGGTGAGCAGTATGTACCAATAAGAATTCAGAAATAAACCAAAAATCCTTCAAAAACTATAGTCTTTCAGTAAGTCCACAACAACCTTCCAGTTGAGAGATACTTCCAAAGCGGCTCCTGAGATCAAAACCTCCAAAAAAAGAAAAACTAACATAGTGTATTACCTTTGATAATATAATATAATTGTTGCCAAAATGCTAAGAAGGATGGGATCAGGGGCGGACTGACAACTCATGGGGCCCCCGGGCAATAGGATCATGGGGCCCCTGTGTCCTTGCCCAAACTCAAAAAGCTTATGAAAAAGGTACCAGGGGCATCTCATGGGGGCCCTCTACTGACCCCGGACCCTCAATAGGGGATCAAGGGGCCCCTGTGTCCTTGCCCAAACTCAAAAAAGCCTATGAAAAAGGTACCGGGGCATCTCATGGGGCCCCCTACTGACCCAGGCCCTCGGGCAGTACACAAGTTTCCAAATGGTCAGTCCGCCCCTAGATGGGATATTAGATACTAAAGAAGCCAAGTATCTTATTCCGTCTCATTGTAGAATGCTTGTAATTTATTATTTGCCCAAAATACATAAAAGCCTAACGAACCCCCCGGGAAGACCTATTATCAATGTTATAGGATCTATACACTCAAGAATGGGGGAGTATATCGACTGGTATTTACAACCCATAGTAAAACAAATGCCCTCTTATCTGAGGGTTTGCGCAAGATGTAATCGACCTGGTGGAACATATGAAAGTCTCTGATAACACTATATTGGTGACCATTGATGGTAATTCTTTATATACCAATATTAAACATGAGGATGGGATTAGGGCTATTAAGTGGGCCCTAAAAAAGTTTACAGACCTCCATGTGAAACAGAGGAAACTCATTATAAAACTATTGGAATTTTGTATGGGAAAGAACTATTTTTGGTATGGGGGCAATTTTTAAGAACAGAGGAAAGGCGTAGCGATGGGCGCGAAGTTCACGCCCAGCTTAGCAAACTATTTTTAAGTAAATGGGAGGAGAAGGTGATTTTTAACAATAAGTGGTCGGGTCTTACCCTGTGGAAAAGATATATAGATTACATTTTTGTTATCTGGGAAGACCCGATGGAGACATTGAAGGCTTTTTTAGAAGTTATTGAGAAAAATGAACACAATTTAGGCTTCTCTATCCATATGGACATGACATCAGTAAATTTTTTAGATCTTAGTATTTTTAACCACTTGCCGCCCTGCCACTGTAGAAATACGGCGGCAGGGCGGCACGGGCAGGCAAAACCACGTTTTAAAATGTGTGTTTTATAAACAGGTAGGGGGTCAGTCAGTCGCCGGGTCACAGCCGGTCCTTACCGGCTATGACCTGGCGATCTGCGGCAATAGCTGACAGAGAGCACAGCTGCAGTAGCTGTGCTTTCTGTCAGTTCCCTGACAGCTCGAGAACACGCTGACCGGAACAGAAGAGTTTTCTCTCTCCCGATCAGCGGTGTTCCCTTCAGTACACACCCCTGCCCCCTAGTAAAACACTCCCCCTCACTCAGATAACCCTTCCCTGAAAAATAAAGTTAACCCCTTCCTCCCCAGTGCCATTAGTACAGTGTCAGTGTTTTTTTTTTTAGCACTGATCCACTGTATTGGTGTCACTGGGGATGTCAGTGACCCCAAGTCAGTACCCCCCCCCCAAGTCAGAATGGCCGCAGTCCCGCCATAAGTCGCTGATCACCGCCATAAGTCGCTGATCGCCGCCATTATTAGTATAAAAAAAAAACCTAAAAATCCCAGTATCTTTCCCGCCATTTGTAAATGCTATAACTTTCACGTAAACCAATTAATTTACACGTATTGGGTTTTTTTTTTTACCAAAGACATGTCCCAGAATGCATTTTGGCAAAAATTTTATAACTAAATTTGATTTTTACATTTTTTTTTACTGGACATGTTTTATAGCAAAAAGTCCAAATATTGTTTTTTTCCCCCAAAATTGTCAGCCTTTTTTTTTATAGCGCAAAAAATAAAAAACCGCACAGGCGATCAAATACCACCGAAAGAAAGCTCAATTTGTGGGAAAAAAAAGGATGTAAATTTCATTTATGTACCGTATTGCATGACCGCGCAATTGTCCGTTAAACTAGCACAGCGCTGTATAGCAAAAAAAATGGCGTAAATTGCAGTATCTATACCATAGTTTGTAGACGCTATAACTTCACACAAAGCAATCAATATACACTTATTGGGATTTTTTTTACCAAAAACATGGAGCAGAATACATTTTGGCCTAAATTTATAACCAACTTTGAGTTTACTATATATTTTTTATAGCTGAAATTAAAAAATATTGTTTTTCTTCAAAATTTTTGGCCTTTTTTTGTTTATAGCGTGAAAAATAAAAAGCGCACAGGTGATCAAATACCACCGAAAGAAAGCTCTATTTGTGTGAAAAAAAGGACGTAAATTTCGTTTAGGTGCAGCATTGCATGACCGCGCAATTATCAGTTGAATTAGTGCAGCACCGAGTAGCAAAAAGAGGCCTGGTCATTAAGGGGGGTAAATCCTCTGGAGGTCAAGTGGGTAAAGAAAATGGGGTTTTACTTACTAAGACATATTTTAAAGAGACAGATAGAAACGGGTATATCCCGACTAGTAGCTGTCATCACCCTTCCTGGATCAATGGTATCCCTAAAGGACAATTTATCAGAATTCTGAGGAATTGTTCGAGATTGAAAGAATTCATAGAACAAACAGAGATCATAAAAAATAGATTTGTGGAAAAGGGATACGATCCTGATGTGCTGGAGCAAACTAGGTTTCAGCAAAAATTATGTAGGAGAAAAAAAGTAAGAAGAGTACCTGTAATGAAAGCGCAGGCAGGACAGAGCACACGGAGAAGATGGGGAACACACAAAGCTTTATTGAAGCAACAAAAGGACAGACACTCAATGGGGAAATGGCAGGGAGGGTGATGTGTGCACAAACCAGGGACGATTCCTGGCACGGGGGGTTTTCAGCGACAGGCAGGCAGTCTCCCCCCTAGGCTTGGGGCCTCAGCCGAGCTCCCTCCATGACTGGACAGCGGATTGGAGACTCGGGCAACAGGCGGTAACCTACCACTGGGCAGGGACCTCGGGCAACAGGCGGCAATCTACCCCTGGGCAGGGGTCTCGGGCAACAGGCGGGAAACTACCACTGGGCCTCGGACAACAGGTGGCAACATACCACTGGGCAGGGGCCTCGGGCAACAGGCGGACAAAAAAAAAAAAGGCAACCTACCACTGGGCAGGGGCCTCGGGCAACAGGCGGCAACCTACCCACTGGGCAGGGGCCTCGGGCAACAGGCGGCAATCTACCCCTGGGCAGGAGTTTCAGGCAACAGGCGGCAACCTACCACTGGGCAGGGGCCTCGGGCAACAGGCGGCAATCTACCCCTGGGCAGGGGCTCGGGCAACAGGCGGCAACCTACCCCTGGGCAGGGGCCTAGGGCAACAGGCGGCAACCTACCACTGGGCAGGGGCCTCGGGCAACAGGCGGCAACCTACCACTGGGCAGGGGCCTCGGGCAACAGGCGGCAACCTACCACTGGGCAGGGGCCTCGGGCAACAGGCGGCAATCTACACCTGGGCAGCGGTTCGGGCAACAGGCGGCAAACCTACCACTGGGCAGGGGCCTCGGGCAACAGGCGGCAACCTACCACTGGGCAGGGGCCTCGGGCAACAGGTGGCAATCTACCCCTGGGCAGGGGCTCGGGCAACAGGCGGCAATCTACCCCTGGGCAGGGGTCTCGGGCAACAGGCGGAAACCTACCACTGGGCAGGGGCCTCGGGGACTCAACGGGACTCTAGCTGTGGAGACTGGCCACAGCACAGCTCCCACCCAGCTTTCTAGGGTCATTGGGTTCACGGGGACCAACGGGTAGCAATGGCTCAAGCACTCAGGGGCACCACAGGTAGCTATACTCCGGGCATGCCATCAGGACACGGGTGGTCGGTGCACACAGCAGGCACAGTTCAGGACACAGGTGGTCAGTGCACACAGCGGGGACAGTTCAGGACACAGGTGGTCAGTGCGCACCACAGGGACAGTTCAGGACACAGGTGGTCAGTGCACACAACAGGAACAGTTCAGGACACGGGTGGTCAGTGCGCACCACAGGGACAGTTCAGGACACGGGTGGTCAGTGCGCACCACAGGGACAGTTCAGGACACGGGTGGTCGGTGCACACAGCAGGGACAGTTCAGAACACGGGTGGTCGGTGCACACAGCGGGGACAGTTCAGGACACTCACGGTAAGCAGCTGGCAGACCCTCAGCGGCAGGCGGCTCCAGACCGGGACGACCAACGGTCAGCGTTCCAGGGACAACCAGCGATCAGCAGACAGCAACAGCTCCAGGGCACTCAGCAGCAGACAGCCTCCAGGGACACGCAGCCACGGACAGTGTGCAGGGTCCCTCAGCAGCAGCTCCCAGGGCACTCAGCAGCAGACAGCTTCCAGGGACACACAGCAACGGATAGTGTGCAGGGGCCCCTCAGCAGCAGCTCCCAGGGCACTCAGCAGCAGACAGGGTGCAAGGGTGCCCAGTAGACAGGCTTACAGACTGGCAGGGTCTCAGCTGTGGGGTGTTACCTTTGAGGAGAAGGCTCATGCAGAGCTGTGGAGACTCCCAACCCTGGGGTATTGCAGAGGGCTACAGTCCTGACCTTTTGGGGGTCTGCAGCGTGCACAGGGGGGATGGCTGGGGAGGCTCAGTCCCCCTCACCCGAGCCTCCCAGCATCTTTCTGGGAGCAAGATGATTCCAGCCGCATGGACAGGAACAGAGAGAGGGCTGCTTCCTGTGTGGGTCTCTTGAAGATCATGTGGGACGCGGCTAGGTTGCCTCGGCAACGGCCGGTCCAGCCCTGTCCATGGAAGCCCCACAGACCTTGGAATGTACAAGGGGGAAGGGAGGGGTGGAGGGATATGGCGGGGGATGGGAGAGGCACTGGCAGTCCGTGACAGTACCTAATAAAAAGAAAAAGTTAGATAAGGCACAATATGCCTTTATTTCCGGTTATAACTGCCAGTATAAAGAGATGGAATCTGTCTTTTACAAAATACTGGCCGGTATTAATGAAGGACTCGGTATTGGGTCCTATTTTACCTAAAAAGCCTTCTTTATTTATAGGAAAAATACCAATTTTAAGGGATGTTTTAGTCAAAAGTATTGTTTCTCCTCCAAAATGTAATAAAATACATACAGTCATGGCCGAAATTGTTGGCACCCTTGATATTTTTCCTGAAAATCAAGTATTTCACACAAAAAAAGTATTGCATTAACACATGTTTTGCTATACACATGTTTATTCCCTTTGTATGTATTGGAACAAATATAAAAACAGAGGCAGAAAAGCAAATATGACATAATGTCACACAAAACCCCAAAAATGGGCTGGACAAAAGTATTGGCACCCTTAACTTAATATTTGGTTGCACACCCTTTGGAAAACATAACTGAAATCAGTCGCTTCCTATAACCATCATAAGCTTCTGACACCTCTCACCCGGAATTTTGGACCACTCTTCCTTTGCAAACAGCTCCAGGTCTCTCTTATTGGAAGGACACCTTTTTCCCCCAACAGCAATTTTAAGATCTCTCCCACAGGTGTTCAATGGGATTTAGATCTGGGCTCATTGCTGGCCACTTCAGAACTCTCCAGCGCTTCTTTGCCATCCATTTCTGAGTGCTTTTTGACGTATGTTTGGGGTCATTGTCCTGCTGGAAGACCCAGGATCTTGGACGCAAACCCAGCTTTCTGACACTGGGCCCTACAGTGCGACCCAAAAATCCTTTGGTAATCCTCAGATTTCATGATGCCTTGCACACAGTCAAGGCACCCAGTGCCAGAGGCAGCAAAACAACCCCAAAACATCATTGAACCTCCACCATATTTTACCGTAGGTACTGTGTTTTGTTCTTTGTAGGCCTCATTCCGTTTTCGGTAAACAGTAGAATGATGTGCTTTACCGAAAAGCTCTATCTTGGTCTCATCTGTCCACAAGACGTTTTCCCCAGAAGGCTTTTGGCTTACTCAAGTACATTTTGGCAAACTGTAGTCTTGCTTTTTTATGTCTCTGTGTCAGCAGTGGGGTCCTCCTGGGTCTCCTGCCATAGCGTTTCATTTCATTTAAATGTCGACGGATAGTTCGCGCTGACACTGATGCTCCCTGAGCCTGCAGGACAGCTTGAATGTCTTTGGAACATGTTTGGGGCTGCTTATCCACCATCCGGACTATTCTGCGTTGCAATCTTTCATCAATTTTCCTCATCCGTCCACGACCAGGGAGATTAGCTACAGTGCCATGGGTTGCAAACTTCTTGATAATGTTGCGCACTGTGGACAAAGGCAAATCTAGTTCTCTGGAGATGGACTTGTACCTTGAGATTGTTGATATTTTGCCACAATTTTGGTTCTCAGGTCCTCAGACAGTTCTGTCTCGTCTCCTCTTTCTGTTGTCCATGCTTAGTGTGGCACAGACAGACACACAATGCAAAGGTTAAGTGAACGTCTCCTTTTTTTATCTGCTTTCAGGTGTGATTTCTATATTGCCCACACCTGTTACTTGCCCCAGGTGAGTTTACAGGAGCATCACATGCTTGTAACATTCTTATTTATCCGCAGTTGTGAAAGGGTGCCAATACTTTTGTCCAGCCCATTTTTGGAGGGTTTGTGTGACATTATGTCGAATTTGCTTTCTTTCCTCCCTTTTTTTGTTTTGTTGATTTTGGGGCGGCCTAATACACACAAAGGGAATAAACATGTGTATAGCAAAACATGTGTTAATGCAATACGTTTCGTGAGAAATACATGATTTCCTGGAGAAATATCAAGGGTGCCAACAATTTCGGCCATGACTGTATGTTTGATTTTATAGGGTTTTACCCCTGTAAAAAATGCACTACGTGCAAGGCCACCCAATATGACTAAGAGATCTATATCTGAATTTACATCTAGTAATACAGGGGCAAATTTTAAAATCAAGAAATTCATTACATGCTCCACTAAATATGTGAAATATTTACTGGAATGTTCCTATAAATTTCAGTATGTAGGAAGAACGTCAAGGTCCCTACATATCAGATTAGGGGGAACATATAACTAACATAAAAAAAGGGAAAAAGGATCATCACTGTCTCTCAAGGCACTTTAGGGATTGTCCATGATTGCGACCCGAGTACGTTGAAGTTTTGTGGGATAGACAGGATGGAAGCCCACTGGAGGGGTGGAGATAAACCAAAAGCCCTCTCCCAAAATGAGACTTTTTGGATATTCGAGCTTAGGACCTGAGACCCTATGGGTTTAAATGTAGACCTGGATCTGAATTATTTTATTTCTAATTTTTAATATATTTTTGAGTGGAGAGTTTTTTAGTTTATTCATGAGAGGTTTTTACCATTTCAATTATAATTATATCTGGATCTATTTTTTTTTTTCTAATTTTATATATTATTTTTATAATAGAATGGATCCATCATTATTTAGTGTATGAGGATTGAGGGATTTTATTTATTTATTAAAATTATTAAGTAACTGCCCATAGGTGGTGCTGAGTTCTTTTCTGCCTGGTATCTTGTGTCTGCCTGGTGTCCTTCTCCTTTAGGTAGTGATATAACCCTATGGTCAACAATCTGAAGAGCTGTGTTCGTCAATGAACAAAAGAGAAAATGTAATACTTGAGGGAATAGAGGATTTTCTTTGTGCTGGTGAACAAAATCAAAACAATCAAAACAAGGTAAAAGCGAGCGCTATAGATCAAAAAAAGAGCAGCCAATGCACAAAGGATACCAAACAACCTCAGAACATAAATATATAAGGGGTGCGGTGCTCAAGCAACAATCAAAACAATAAAAGTATAATAAACTATAGATAAAAACTAGATAAAATCCATAAAGTGACTTGTGACAAAGTGCCAACATATAAAAAGTGACTTCAGTGATGTCATATGTTACTATGAAAGTGACTCCTGGTGATCACTAATGATGAAAATAAATAGTCCAAATGTGAGTATGGGAGATCGAAATATCTCAAACAATAGGTGCTCTGTTCAAGTCAAATGGTGAGGTGACCGGTATATATGGTAAAGCTCTGCACTCACCAGATGCACAGTTAATCTGCGCATGTAGAGACAATGCTCCTGTGGGGGACGCTCCAGGCTCCCGTAATAGATTGGTCTGGTCAGGTATTCCTCTTACTGTTCTCCTCAGCTGGTAGTATGGCCTTACTTCCTCCTCACCAGGGCTCTGTGGGTTGTTGATGACTCACAAAGAGCCCAGAAAAAAGGAGGCCAATAGTGTAATACTGTTTGAGCATATGTGC